GGGTCTGGGTGGGATGTCTGAGGGTCAGTGTGGACTTGATGGGCCAAACAGCCTGTTTCCACAATGTAGGGATTCTATCTATTGATGAGTGACTGTGGACTAATGGGAGACAGCAGTAGAGATCCCATTAGGGAATTTCTCATCTAACACAGTAAAGCACTGCAGCATCTCAAAAGTGAATTTGAATGTGGATAGAGTATATTTCTTTGTGTAAGAAAAGACTTACACGCATTTACAGTTTCAAAGATTGCAAAGGTTTCATCACATAAGCAGACATACAATCATCATTATACATGAATGACATAGGAAGATAGGGATAATTCTATCAAAAATGCATTTCTCACAGTGACTGACATTTTAGCAAGCACTGCAGCTATAGATCATCCCACATCTACACCAACTACATAATGTCATCAAAACTAAACTCAACTGCGCAAGTTGCTATATTCATAATTTCAGAGTATATGGATTCAGAAAATGATAATGCATTTTTATTGCTGTGATTCTGTCATTCTGGTAAATGTCAATGTCATGTATAGTCTTTACAAAGATAAGGAATCCTTCCCTGTGTAAGTGGATAACTTACTGAGGAGTGGCTGTAAGTAATTCTTTGAATCAAATGACCAGAACTGATAATTGATTCAAAAAAAAGCAAAATGGGACGTCAAAAAAAACTGAAGAACTGCGAATGCTGTAAATCAGAAACAAAAACAGAAGTTGCTGGAAAAGCTCAGCAGGTCTGGCAGCATCTATGAAGAAAAAAATCAGAGTTATCGTTTTGGGTCAGGTGGCCCTTCCTCAGAACTGTCGGTAGCTGGGAAAACGTTGGTTTATATGCAGAAAATAGGGAGGGGTGTGGGGTAGGGAGTAAACGATAGGATAGAGCCCGAAGAGAGAGAAGAGCAGTTGGATAGACAAAGAAGTTGATAACAATCTGGCTAGGAGAGTGAATAGTTGTTAATGGGGTCTGTTAGTAACTAACAATAGTGTTGTAATGGCAGGCTATGTGATAACAAGGCCTGCTGGGTGGGTTAGGGGGCTAGGAAATGGGAGAGTTTAGGCCCTAAAGTTATTGAATTTGATATTAACTCTGGAGGACTTCAGGGTCCCCAAGTGGAAAATGTGGTGTTGTTCTTCCAGCTTGCATTGGGCTTCGCTGGAACACTATAGCAAGCCATAGACAGAGATATTGGCCAGGGAACAGGGTGGTGTGTTAAAGTTGCAGACAACTGGAAGTTCAGGGTCTTTTTTGTGGACAGAATGTAGATGTTCTGCAAAGCAGTCACCCAGTCTATGCTTCGTTTCCCCAATGTAGAGGAGACCACATTGTGAGCAGCAAATGCAGAAGACCAAATTCTGGGAAGTTCAAGTGAAGTTTTGCTTCACCTGGAAGGTATGTTTGGGCCCTTGGATACTGGGGAGGGAGGAGGTAAATGGGCAGGTGATGCACCTTCGCCGGTTGGAGAGGAAGGTGCAATGGGAGTGTGGGGGGCTGTTGGGGTGAAGGAAGAATGGACTAGGGTGTCCCGGAGGGAACAGTCCCTGCAGAAGACAGACAAGGGAGGGGAGGGGAATATGTGTCTGGTGATGGCATCTCGCTGGAGGTAGCAGAAATAGCGCCTGATGATCTTCTGGATGTGGATGCTGGTGTGATACTAGGTAAGGACAAGGGGAACCCTATCGCTGTTGCAGGAAGGAAGAGAAGTGGTAAGGGCGGAAGTGCGGGAGATGGGTCGGACCCATTGAGGGCCCTGTTGACAACGTTAACTCTGATTTTTTTTCTTTACAGATGCTGCCAGACCTGCTGAACTTTTTCAGCAACTTCTGTTTTAGTTCCTGAAACTTGGACATCATGTGTTTTCTCTAGCCCGAATTATGCGTGGATCTAGCCACAGGCATAAACCCATCTCAAACGTTGGAAGACAGCTTGTTACTCTTGCGCAAATCTTGGAAATTTGTTTGAAGCTTGCTTTTGAGCAAAACTGTGGAGTCATTCTTGGCAGCAAATCTAATAGATGCAAATTTGGAGCGATCATCAAGAACAGCATGAGTTTTGTCCACATAATCACAATTCTTCAGAATTACCACATAAATCCCTTTGTCAGGCTTGCAAATGTGTATGCCGGTGTTTGCCCTGAAGCCTTACAAGGCCACCTGGCATTCATGTTGTGTATTGAAAGGAATTCCTTGTCTATGTGCTCATTTGACATTGTTTCACAGTATAAGGAATACAAGTTGAACTGATAACTGTGGAATCATCAGCAAATAGCCCCATTTTGGATCTTATGGTGGAAGGAAGGCCAATGAGGAAGCAACTGAAGATGACAGATTTGATAGGCTGATCCAATTTTATACTACATTAGCATGAATGGAAAATTAAATGGATCAGGGTATCAAAACAGTGATCCCATCAGCTTCCTGCCAGAGTTATGTTAAATTTACCCTTGAGTGAATGCTGAATTTTCCAACGATGTTGATTTCATCACCTGTAAAGAAATAGATTTTTTGGCAGACCTGAGAAGTTATTTTGAAAAATGATTATGATTTTCTCATATTTGGAAAAATTTTTTGGAGATTCCATTTGTAATTACAGTTAACTTAATATTGAAAATTTTAACTTTTGATATTCATCACAAAATATTGATTGGTAAACTCCTGATCTGTATAGTGATATCCATCCTTGTATACTTTTACTGAACAATATAGGAAAGTTATGCAACTGTTAGCCTGTGGGTTTTGAGGAAGAAGAAGACAGTATTAAACTGGTTAAGACTGCAACAATCAATTTCATTAGCAAACATCCTCATGGTGGAGCACATTACAACCTGTACTCTCCATTCGGAAACTAATTGGATGGAGACAAGGCAAAGCTGAATTATTTTGTCATAATCCCTTACTAGGACCTCAATTGGCACGTGGCCATGGGAATGGTTTGCATTATCTCTGGGCTTTAATGGAGAATGCAAACTGGCAGAAACAATATTGTTGATGTATTCATGACCTACTTTCAGATTAAAATCATATTTCCACCAGATGCACATTTAAAAACTAGTTAACATCTAATTGTAATAATGATATATGTTTATATATATAAAACAAATATGTGTGTGTATGCATAAACAAGGACATTTTCATTTTATGCATTTTCCAATCTAATTTAGTTAGATTGTGTGATAATTTTGTGTGATATAAACTCTGATTTATACATACTTTAATATTATTTATTCTTAAGAATGGGTTTTGAATTTTGAGTTGGCGACATGGGCTTTCTGTGTGTCTGAAATTGTTAATTAACGTCTATGTATTTCTGTAGCCATGGTTATTTCTTTTAATATAGTTTGTGAAGCCAACTTTGGCAGCTGATTGAGTTTTTGCTTACTGGGATTTTACAATTTAGCAAGGTAAACAATTTGTACCTCAAGGTTTTTGTTAGAAATTTCTGGATTGCGAATCTTTTTTTTAAACATATGGACAACATCCATAAAAGAGAAAGATAGAGACTATTTCTTCAGTTTTACATTGTTTTAGGGAGTTCTGTGAAATTCTTGCACTGAGTGCTCCTGAGATCAGGAGAATATCGTAAGACAATACTAACTTGAAATAGGAAATTTGTGATAATCCTAAACCACAAGTGTTGGGATAAAACCTGAAAAGGAATTGAAGCTGGGTCTTTTTAAACTCAGGTGTATGATAGCTCTGGAAATAAGCTGTCAGAGGTTATAGTGTAAGTGTTAAAGTTACCTTGAAGCTATCAACGTGTTTGAGGAAGAGTGTCTAGTTTTACTACTGTACAATATTTTCTGTTGGGTAATGTACAAGGGATGTTTTTAAACTTGTAAAAGAGTGTTTTGGGATATAATTGGGATATAATTGCATGTTTAAAACTTTCTGAACTTGTGTCGTAACTAAGTAGATTGGTTCATTCTATTGATATTACTATACAATAGATTACATTCAATTAATAAACTCCTGTTGTAATATTAAGGAGAAATGTGTAGCATTGCATTCTTCTGTTTCAGTGACAGAGACTGCCTTGTTAAAACTAAAACAAAACAAAATATGATCTATCAAGCCAGATTTCAGTCTGGGATCTGATAGAAGTTTGTAAGATTGTAAATGGCATGGATAGAGTGGAAAGTATGAGGCATTTTCCCAGGGGGGATGGGTCAATTAGTAGAGGATACATGTTCAAGTTGCAGGGGGGGAAAGTTTAAAAGAGTTGTGCGGGGTAAGTTTTGCACACAAATCGTGTTGAGTGCCTGGAACGTGCTGCCAGAGGAAGACGTAGAAATGGACACAATAGCAGCATTCAAGAACCACCTGGACAGATACATGAATAGGAGGGGAATAGAGGGATACGGATCCTGTAAGTGAAGACAGTTTTAATATGGAAGGGCAAAATGTGCTGGTGCAGGCTTAGAGGGCTGTGCTGTGCTGTTCTTTGTTCTTTGTCCAGTAATAACATCAGCTGGAATCGTAACAATTTCCACTGTGTAGATGATGTTTAAATAGATACATAAAATACATAGATACAATGTATTTTCATTCTTGCCTATAGGCAAACTGTGTATGCAATGATTGTCCTCACCCCAGTCAAAAATGAGCTGTTTCAGTTGACTCTAAATTGGCAATTTGGGACTGAAGTATAATCATTTAGCTCAGCTGCTGAGACCACTTAATATGGCTTTGAAATGTAATAGCATGGAAGAAACTGCAAATTTTCCAATAATATGTATTGTTACTGGCCATGCATTCCATTCAAATGACTAAATGGGTACACACCCAAGATTAATATGCACCTCTCTCTGTTTAAAAAGTGCAAGTATAAGCTTAATGAAGTTGTACGGCTGTGAATATAGACTTTTTCGGAAGAGATGTGCTCTCACTTGTCAAAATATTACAAATGGAGAAAGTTTTATCACTTTGGCAGAATGAGCAGAAGATCTCCATTGCTGCAATGTGATGAAATAGTTTCCTTCAGGGACCTTGATGTGAACCATCTGGTTTCTTACGCACAGTAACATCAACAATTTTTGTTGCATTCTTATTCATGTAAACCTTTATGTACAGACAGCATCGTGCAAATACCTTATGAGATATTGCCATCGTTCAGGTGAGTTTTGTTCTCCATCTTGTTTATGACAATACAAGTGTAATTAATCAGGCTAAGTTTGAAGTCATGCCAAATGTATGAAAATGCTTGTTTTCTTAATTTACCATTTGCTTTTCGATTGTTTGTTTGCATTTTGGTGTCATAGCTATTGCAAAGCATTATGATTTGACTTTTAACGTATTAATAGTCATTTTAAGTGAGGAGGCAAATCTGTTAAATAGTGAATCTGTCAAAAATTTAAGCATTAACATTGGCTGAATCTTACTTCTTTATTTTCTAAAGGCAAGTTGCATTGAGTTTTTCAGAGGGATTTTGGCTGTGAGGCCTAGCAAGATTTCTCACCTTGTCTTACCAAAATAGTCCCGTTAACTACCTAGCCCCCCCCTCCCCCACCACCACGGCGTACCTCACTTCCGATTCTAGCTCTATCTTACCATACACTGTTCCCAGAATAGCTCATCACTCAGCACGCAGCTATCGGAAAGCCAGCAACACCTGCACCCAAGCCATCTTTCAAAGCCTGCTGTACACACAGACAAATGTTGGCAGCCTAGCATTGCCCCTCTCCGGTAATGTAATGGCACAGCCGCCACAAAGCCATTTGCTCCCCATAGCACCTAGCTGCCGTGGCTAACATTTCCTGATACACGGAACTCCATTCTCATGTCTGGGTCACTGTTTAACTATCACGTTACACATCATACCTGTCCTTAGATATTTCTCCTCTACCCACTCTGTTTGAATCCCAGTTACTGTCTCTCCAATGCCCACAGGTCATCTGCACCTTGTCATTTTCCAGTAGGGGAACATCATATACTGGACAAGCAATTGGACAAATCCAAACATGAGCTTATATTGATAGTCAGATAAAGGGGACACAAAGGATACAAATCCAGGACACAGTTGAGTCCCACAATGCAGCGCAAATGTTACTATCTTGGCTGTGACAATCCATGATGGTCTCCTTCACCCAGCTAGCATCTATTGGAATGGGGTGTCAGTCAGGCCCTGTCTGCCTTGTAGTTCCCAATGCAGCTGCTAATTTCTGTCATCCACAAAGCGAGCTTCCTCCAGTTCAATGTCATTATCATCCTCCTCTGATGACTGCTCCCATTCCCCTGGCTCCTTCAGCACCTTTCATACTGTACTGCTTTCACCAATTGTGCAGAATAGTGCAGCGCACAATGTCCAGACTATATCTGAGTTACCGTCCAGACTACTTCAGGCTTTGGACGATTGTCTGCTGCAGTACAGCCCTAGCTGCAGTATCTGCACCAACTTGGGGAAGGTGCCTTACCAGCTGAGTGTACAACACACCACATCAAAAGGGAGTGCCTGCTGCACTCTGACCTCTTTCCCATCCCAGATCCACCTCAACCATTCCACTTTCCACTGCATTTACGCAGTAATGTTAATCCCTGTCCCGCAGCACCTTGGAAATTTCACACGTGTTGCAGTGCTTTTGGGCTGCATTTGCCTCCTTTTAAGTTATTGTTGCTAATTCCTGCATCACTGAGATGACAATGTTAGTTTATCTGGCACCAATGCATGGTGCAGTTTGCCTTTGATTAACATTTGGCACAGCAGCATTTTCATTCTGCATGCATTGCTTATGTGCAATCAATGTTTGCAAATGAAATGTAGCAGATGTTTTCCAAACACATTCTTTGTGCACTTGCCCCATCAATGTCCTAATGTCCGGCAGCTATGGATCCTGTGTTCCCACCCATCAAAATGGCACTGACTCTGCCCATCCTGGTCATGTCCCAGCCATTTTCCAGTTGCATTTCACATGTTGGGAATGGGAAGAGGTGGCAAGTAAAACAGCTTCTGGTGGACACAGACGGCATCAGGCTCTGTCAGTTCACCAGATACAACCACCCCCTCCCCATCCTCAAGAGCCTCTAATTTTCGTTTACCTCACAGTACCCTGACAGCTCATTTCCACCCATCCCTGCCATGCACAGAGCCGCCACGTCTAACATCACCTCCATCAGTCCTCCCTGCTCTGAACCTCAATGTTACACCATAATGGTGCCCACACTGTTCCTTTACATTCTTCCCATGAAGGCCACGTTAGTGACTGCTGCCAATAACCCTCCTCCCATAGCCTATCATGGCCTCCAGTCCCATTCCATATACCTCACATATACCTCAAGACTCCTCACGTCGCCATCCTGGTCTCCATCTTGGCAAATGGCTCTGCTTCTTCCCACTGTCTCAACTCCCCCATCCCTACTGGAACTGATCCACTGAACCTTTAGGCCCTCTTTGCGCCCTCGGACAAACAGAACTGTATTCAATCCGGGCCTATGACTGGCTTCAAAGAGCAGCCTTTAGACATCACTGACCAGACACCTTACACCATCTTTGCAGCTCCCTCATAGACTACGTAATTCTCCTGTTACTGGTGCTCATCTATGGGACTGACCATTGTCCACTCACTGGACAGATCCCCTGACTATGAGAGTTCCAAATTGACTATGACCAAGCCCCTAGACTGCATGAGAACTGTGCCCCTGACTGAAAGCATGGGGGTACCCTGACCAGCAGTGCCCCCATTTATCTGGACTTAGGACTAGCCCCACTCACTTCCTGACATGGTATTTGGTTGAATACACATGCAGCATGTTTGCCTCGCAAGCAGCTGATACATACTTGAAGTGTTAACCTGATGTCTTGTACGATACATCAAGATGTATCGCAGAGAGGATCGGATAAATGCCATGATGGATGTGAGGGGGTGGCAAATGCCAATGTCCAGGGATGAGGGGTACATGCTGCTGGTACCAATGGATCATGCCCTGGGATGCTGTTTGGTGGTGAGCAACACAACATAACTAGTGGCGAGCAGAAGTTGCCAGGTACCCTCTCTGACTTCCACACCAAGAATTAATGAGGCAAATCGTGATGTTAATAAGTTGTTTAACAAGGTCTAATCCCCACTAATTGGCAACTCAGCACTTCCTCGTGAGAAACCCACTTGTTAAAGGCAGACATTAAGCAATGAGATGTTCCCAATGTTGTGATAGGCCCCGTCAGACTGCTCATCTGATTCTGCCACAAATTTCACCATTTCATTTGGACCTCTATAACATTCTGCCCATTATTATAAAACTCAGTGCATTTTAGGAGTTCTGGTGCAAACTGGGTTGCATGTTCAACAGCTGAATGGTGATGTATCTTGTGCCCCATGTGTCGGACTATATCAGCTATAAAGTGGTTGTGAAAACTACTGTCAAAGTGAATTGAGAATGAAATTATTCACTTTTAACTTTGTTTAATTGTTTGCTTTTCATAGCAAAATGTATTTCCTAGCCAAATCACTACATCTTCAATAATGCCAACTTGGATTTTCAAGTCAATTTACTGTTACCAGGAGCCTGTAGTATTATTTCCGCTGAACCCCTGTCAACATCGATAAGGCAGGATTTATTTCTCTGTTGTGATTGCTTGATAATAGTTCCATTCCTGAAGACAGAACTGAATAAATCAGGTTTTTATAACAATCCAGCAGTCTCACAGACACTCTAGTACATATTACACGTTGCTGCTACAGAGCATCAGCGGTGACAGAAGTGGATATTTGTGGATATGATTACTTTGTCCTGGATGGTGTCAAACTTCTGAGTGCTGTTGGAGCTGCACCCATCCAGGCAACTGGGGAGCATTGCATTACACTCCTGACTAATGCTTTGTAGATGGTGGACATACTTTGGGGAGTAAGGAGGTGAGTTACTTGTTGCAGTACTCCTAGCCTCTAACCTGATGTTGTTGCCATTGTTTTTATATGGTGAGTCAAGTTCAGTTTCTGATCAATGGTAACCCTGAGGATATTGATAATGGGAAATTCAGTATGGTAATTCCATTGGATGTCACAGAACATTGGTTAGATTCTGTCTTATTGGTGATGGTCATTGCCTGGCATTTGTGTGGTTCAAATGTTACTTGCCACGTTTCAACTCAAGCCTGAATATTGTCCAGGTCTTGCTGCATTTGGATATCGACTGCTTCGGTATCTGAGGAGTTGTGCATGGTGCTGAACATTATGTAATCATTGGCAAATATCTCCACTTCTGACCTTAAGATGGAGGGAGGGTCATTGATGAAGCAACTGAAGATAGTTGGGCTTAGAATGGTACCCTAAAGAATTCTTGCAGTGGTAAATAACATCTAAACTACATAGGTGCCAAGCAATGATCATTTTCAACCAATCATTGACTAGAAGTTGAACTGAACAAGCCATATAAATGATATGGCTGGGTAAGTGGTTGAGAATTCTGCAGTGAGCAACTCATCACCTATCTCCCTAATAACTCTCTGCCATCAATTACTCACAAATTAGGAGTGTGATAAAATATTCTTCATTTGCCTTAATGGATGCTGTTCCAGCAACACCCAGGAAGCTTGACAATCATTCAGGCCAAAGCAGCATACTTGATTGACATCCCGTTGACCCACTTAAATATTCATTCCCTTTACAACTAATACACAGTTGCAGCAATATGTACCATTGATAAGATGCACAGCAGTGACTCATAAAGTCTCCTTCAATGGCACCTTCCAATGGCACCTGCGTCCTCTACCACCTAGAAAGAGAAAGGCAGCCAATGCATGGAAGCAGCGCCAACTGCAAGTTCACTTCAACTCGCACACTGCCCTAACTTGGAAATACATCACCATTCCTTCACTATCACTGGATCAAAATCCCAGAACGGCATCTCTGACAACACTGTGGGTGTGCCTAAACCACATGGACTGTAGCAATTCAAGAAGACAGCTCACCACCACTTTCCCCAAGGCAATGAGAAATTGGCAATACACATTGGTCCAAACAGTGAAGCCCTGTGCTGCAAATTGATAATTTTGTTTTTAAATTGTCTTAAATCTAATGGTATATGTTTTCCATTCACCAATGACTTAATGATTAAGATTGGAAGTAATTTGGAAAATTTGCAATTTAATGGAAGTGGATGGAAAAGTAGTTCCCATCATGTGATACCATGAGAGCTGATCCACCACTGAAATGCTGCCAACCAAATCACTTAAACTCTACTCAACATCAGGAAACTAGGATTTCACCTCCCAGTTGATAAAGTCTTCCTGACAGTCACATTTCCATTTCTCAGTGGCCTGTTATGGACCAGACCAAACCCTCCCAAAAATATTAAGAAGATAGTCTAGACCCTAACTTTTACTTATTTTAAAGGTAAGTGTAAGGCATTGTGTTCCACATGGATTTCAATTGGTCAAACTACCAGGCTTGAAACAAAACACACTTTACTGAAACACCATAGTTAAAATACAAACAAAATAAAAATAAAAGAATTGGCTTAACTGTAATGCTATTGAAATAATTAATAAAGAAATATATATTAACTACAACTAATTAGCTGTTCCCAATACAGTAATATCCCATAAACACATGATTGGCAACGGCAAATTCAGTTAAAAGACAGATTGTCTCACATGCAATTCTAGCAGCAGGAAGAGAGCCCCAGCTTTTAGCTGTAACAGAGAGAGGCATAAGGGCTTCCACATCCAGCTTCAAGACTCCAGCAACAGCTACTGAAGGCTAAAACTAAAAAAAATCCTGGTTCTGTTGGAGCTTGATCCCACCTATTCAGGCTGCTTCTATTGTTCCAACCTTTTTTTAAAAAAACCCAAGGCCTCATAAGCTGTTTAGTTTATTGGCTTTGGAGCACACTGCTCTGCATCTCTGTCTCAACCTTTCTTTGTTTAAACAAAAAAACCAGGACAAAATACACCTCTAAAAGCCATAGTATTGTCACAGGCCCCATTAAATTCCACTCATTGTGTGGTGTTTGATCACATTGGTACCAAAATTCTGTTCAACAATGTAGACTTATAACTTGACTGAGATTGATCTTACAGGTTGATCGTCTATTGTACAGGATGCCCAATTTTCACAAGATTCAGATAAATATAATGCTCCTTCAATTCGCAAAAAAAGTTTTACCTTCAGTTCATGAGTTGAAAATCTATTCCAGTGAGTCCCTTCAAATGTAGTAAATATGACAAATTAGAGGGCAGGTCACTCTACGTATCTTTTATGTCACCAATGATTTTTTTTTTAATGAATTTTTTTTTGCAGGTAGAAAACATTGGATGCCATGATGCTACTGGTCTTTATACTTCTTTTGGATCAAAGTTTGGCGGCTCACAGAACTTTGGTATGTGTGCCCAAATTCAATATATTAACTTTTCTAAACACGCCCGCGTTCTCTATTTTTTCCTGAAAGGAATTCGAAGTTGCAAATGAATTAGGTGTAAGCTATTTTAGAAGTAAACATCACTGTCACATTGCTGGTAAGGAGCATTCCAAATTGCCAGTGAAGTAATGAGCTTTCTTCTTGAACCATTGCAATTCACATGGTGAACCTCCTCCTACAGTGCTATCTGATAGGGAGTTCCAGGTTTCTAACCCAGTGACAACAAATGAACAAGTCAGAATGTCACGTGGCTTGGATGGGATCTTGAAATTGGTGGTGTTTCCAAAGGCCTTCTTCCCTAGCCCTCCTAGGTTGTGGAGGTTCTGTCGAAGTACCCTTCATGAGTTGCCACAATGAGTACTTTAGGTGTTACTAACTGCAGCCATGGTCTGTTGATGGGGGACATAGTGAGTCCTTGTCATGGTGACAGGGCTGCCTATCAAATGGATTGTTCATGGATTAAGTAGAGTTTCTAGAGCACTGTTGGAGCTCACTGACAGGTGCAAGTGAGGAGTATTCCACCATGCTACTGGCTTCCGCCTTGTAGAGAGGCTTGAATTGTCTGTTCTGGATTATGTGGAATCTTAGCAATTGTAGTGAATTTGGGTAGTGTTAACAGGAAGCAATATAGCAACTGTTTTGGAATCTTCATATCATCCCTACTTTTATGCTTTTGATAGGGAGTTGATGACCACAGCTTGTGGCCAGTTTCCATTTGTATTTGGGTGTCCTTTATTGTACGAGCTTCCCCTTTAAGATGAAGACCTTGAGAGAGGAGAGAGGAAATTGTGCTCATTGCTGTAGTCTGAATGAGCTGCTGTTTGGATCCTGATGATCACCATAAGAAGGAGAGCGCAGAGGACCCTTCATCTCCTGTTTCTCCAGAGGCACATGGAGGAGTGGTCTTATAGAGCCACATGCTCTGAGGAGGTTACACCACTCCAGTTTTGTGAGCTGTGCACTAGGTCTATTGGGAAAGATTCCCAATGAGGATGGAGACCCTTCTGCCAGCAGGTCATCTGAGGTATTGCAGGCTGATGCTGAAGTTTATTTTGATTGTTACGTTGAGGTTGTGTTTTGTAGGGCATGGACCTGGACAAAGTTTCAACCCACCCCCTGAGACTGGGAGGAAAAATAGCGTTAACCTCTGCAGTTTGATTTTTTTTATTTGGCCTGGAACATATATTTTCTGCAGGGCAGTGGGTTTCTTCCCTTTGCCATTTCATTTTCTTGGTGCTGAGAATATTTTGACAATGAGTTGGAAGAAATTGCCCAAACTGGTTCTGTACTCTAAAATTCTATTCCGTCTAAGCTAGTGTCAATGCCCCCTACGAGCCTTCACCCACTTCACTTCATCTGATCCTACCAACAATCCTTCTTCTTGTACTCAGCTACTGCCCACTCAAGTTCTCCTTGAACTGCAGCTCTGACCTTAGTATCAGGAGAAAAGCTGTCTGTTTACTTTTTGCTGTACATTGAGTACATATTATATGGTAACAGCTGCAGCAATGGCTCCCAAAACACAGGACAAGCATTGGCAGTGTGTGAGTGATATTTGCTCCAGGTTTATGTTTTTCTTTTTAACAGGACAATGAAACATGTATGATTGAAGTCTCCAAGCTGCAAAAGCAGTTACAACATTTACAGGCTCAGTTCCTACTTGGAACATGGCGACTAAAGCATTTGAAGGAACACAATGACTACTGGACAAAGAAAAACACAACAACAGAAAAGAATGAACAACAGACCACATTACAACCAATTACTTCACATCAGTTTGCATATCACCATGGTAAATATATAGATATAAGCTAATATATTTGACATAATAGGTGAAAATACCAGTCTTTGAAATGTTAGCCATTTGAACTTTTACCAGAGCATCTGTATATTTAGGTTGAACAATTTTTGAGCATTAGATAACATGCCATTTCCTCTGATTGTGATAATTGCTGCTTGTGAGGTTTAGTTAAATTAATCATCCTGTATCAATGTTTGTTACTTTTGAGAAACTTAATAGAAAGAATTGAACATATTGTAGGAAACAAAGTGAAGCTACCCTTTTTAGAGCTTTCATTGCTAAGCTTCATGAATCTCCTCTTTTACCAGCACTGACCTGTCAATCATTATGGAAGATGTAACTGGAATAATAGTGAAGCATTTAATCCAATGGCATGTTACCACTCACTGCTAGTATGCTATTAAAAAAAGGAATTTACATGGTCATCACCAAGAGGCTCAATGTTTTAAGCAAATATGACAATAAATAATTAGATCTGTGGTGACCAGCACAAACATGATGGACCAAATGGCCTCCTGTGGTGTTGTAAACATCAGAACACAAAATCAGGAAATGTCATGATACAAAATGATCAAAGCAGAAATCACCTTTTAACAGGATCACAAGTGAAGCCCACAGCATATCTTACATGTATCACTCATACTGAGCATGGGCTAAATTACCTTCAATAACCATCTTTGAACTTAGTTTAGATAGAGAGCAAAAATGAAGTCAGTTAATAGCAGCAGTAGATGGTATAATCTGAGACAAAAAACAAGCAATCATTATTATACATTTCTATTAATGGCTCTTGCAGCAGAAGGTTGTTTTAGGATCTGGGTTTTCATGCCTCTAACCACGTTCGAATGGAATGGGGTTAATTTTAAAGTGGAAGAATGGATCCAATCTAGGATTCCACTCACACACCACCCAGTCTTGGCATCCTTAATTTTTGATGGCACAGGATAAGAGTGCAGGGAGCAAGATCTCTTAGCCTCATGCAATTTCCATGGAGTTGGACCACCTTCTCAATGAGTTGTGGTTCACTGTCCCTCAGTAGAAAGGCTAATGCAAAAGACCTTATCCATGCCCCTATCCATTGCTGTCCATCGTACCCTCCACATCGACTCATGGCACTTTCAATACTTTCACCAGGGATAAACCCCATACAAAACCAATAAACCTTTTAATAACAAACAATGGCATGCCAGGAACTGCTTTTAAAAACTCCCATTCATAAATTTCTTTAAAAAATGCTGTAGCTTTTATCCGATAAAAGTGTCAATCAGTTAAAGTATCAGTAACAGAAGCTATAAATACTTGAGTCTTTTTATCTTTGGTATTGACAAAATAGATTGCAGATGATACAAAACAAAAAGCTTGTTAAAACATCTTGTCCATTAGGCAATGTTTTCCCATCTATGTCAGTAAAGTCGAACTCTTTTGGAACTCGAGGGTATCATTCAAGTATACACAACACAGTCTCATCCCATCTCTGCTGGTATGTTACAGTCTCTATTTTGTTTGTCACCCCCTGGGTGGGAGAGGGGATGTTTGGGCAGAGAGTGCTGTATGCCTTGTTCATGATCGAGGGACCTAATAATCAGAAAGCGATCCCACTGAGAACCGGCCCCTTGCCTTTTCTTCCGACTTCCATCCGATTCTCACTCAATTGTGGGCTGGGTCTTGCAGCATACTGGGCTTCTCCGTGGTAAAACTAGGGGCTACGGTGCTGCCAACTTTTGATTAGCTGGCATCTCCTGAGGGGTCAGCATTTCTGCCCCTGCTGGTCAAGAATCTGGCTGATTGGCACCGAATTCCATTGGGCCTTCCCCTGTACAGGCAGGGCAGATCTCCTGTTGGTTCTCCAACTGCCGGTAGACACCCTCATCGACAAGATTAAATCTTGCCCCTGTCTACCAGAGATTGTTCTTACAATCCTCATTCTCCCAAATAGTGGTTTTATCCTATCCTCCTGTTGGTTCAGGCATTTAGGATTCTTTATCTTTAGGATTTGATTTTATTTAGTTTAAAGTGAGACTTCATCTCAATGGCAATGACATCTCACACATGATTTTGTTTTATTCATTCCTGGAATATGGGTGCCACTGGCTGGGCCAGCATTTATAGCTTATCCCTAATTGTCATTGTCACAAAGGGCAATGAGTCTGCACGCTTCGTTTGGTTCTTATTATAAAGTGATTCTCCCATTGCCAATTTATCCAAATACTGGAAACACCACTTGACAACATCATTGAATTGTTTGATTACTTAACAGATTTTACTTTGTTCCTGGCTATATTTGTGTATTGACCAAGGGGGATGGTTAGTTCAATTGGATGGATGGCTGGTTTACAATGCAGAGGATGCCAAAAGCTTGGGTTCAGTTCCTGCCCTGGCTGAGGTTATCATGAAGGACTCTCTCCTCAACCTCTCACTCACCTGAGGTGCAGTGACCCTTAGGTCAAACCACCACCAGTCACCTTTCTCTCGTGAGAGAGCAGCCATATGGTCTGGTAGGACTACAGTGACATGACTATTAAAGGCATGAACCAAATCTCACTGCAACCAACCTCTAGTCCGTCACATTATATGAAAATATAAATTATAAGTTCAAACATTGCAATCTGGGATGAATCCAGCGAGGCTTGGGAACCAGTTGGGCAGCATCACGCAGGTGATATCAGGCTTTCAGATCTCAACCAACTTGAATACTGAACTAGCTTGGATATAAAAACCGAAAGAACTGCAGATGCTGTAAATCAGGAACAAAAACAGAAGTTGCTGGAAAAGCTCAGCAGGTCTGGAAGCATCTGTGAAGAAAAAAATCAGAATTAATGTTTTGGGTCTGATGACCTGAGGTGAGGAAGGGTCACCAGACCTGAAATATGAACTCTGATCTTTTTCTTCACAGATGCTGCCAGACCTGCGGAGCTTTTCCAGCAACTTCTGTTTTTGTAGCTTGTGTGTAAGTTGGATTGCATGTGATACATACGGATTGGGAGCAGATGTAGGCCATTCAGCCGTTCAAGTTTACTCTGCCATTTAATAAAATTATAGCTAATGACTCCTCCACATTCCCACCCATCCCCAATTACCTTTCGGTCCCTTGATAATCAACACTCTATCTACTCTGCCTTAAAATATTCATAGATGCTACTTCCAGTATCCTTCAGGGAAGTGAGTTCCAAATTCTCACTACCCTCTGAAAATAAATTATTTCTACTCATCTCTGTCTTCCTTATTTTGAAAAAGAGGCCCCTAGTTCTAGATTCTCCCACAAGAGGAAACACCTTTTCCATGACCTGTCAAGACCCCTCAGGATCTTATAATCCTCCTTCAAGTCACTCATTACCCTTCTAATCTTCAAACAAAAGCCTGGACTGGCCAAACTTTCCTCAAAAGCAACCCACCAGTTCCATGATGGGGTGCAATTGAGGCCAACCAGAGGTGGGTGAGCACATTACTGACACAAGGTGCAATGTTAATGTGGAGGATGAAGGAACAGCCCGACTTGCTTTGGTTCTGCATTAATGTAAACTAAAGAAAACTTATTTCACATGATTATACCCATAAAGCATAAAACAAACTAGTTTAAAATTGGGGTATGCTCCAATGGTTTTAGTGACTGTCAAATGCAGTACAAATTGATCATTGTTGCACCTGTTCTACACCTGTAAAACAAAGTTGAATCTAAGCACCATTACCTCTAATTGAGTGTAACCAAGACTGTAGAGGAGGCACTGCTGTTTCAGCGTTATATACAATCTCTTCTGTTCTTCATACCTGTCAGCCTAGTGGATCCGTCACAATTTAATTCCATGTACTTTGCTAAATGGTCATTGAATTGCTAGCGCATGGATGGAATCAGTCCGTGGTGCAAGTAGAATCATCATAGAATCCCTACAGTGTGGGAACAGGCTCTTCAGTCTAACAAATCCACACCGACCCTCAGAGCATCCCACCCAGACCCATCCCCCATATAACCCACCTAATCTACACATCCCTGAACACTACAGGCAATTTAGCATGGCCAATCCACATAACCTGCCCATCTTTGGACTGTGGGAGGAAACCAGAGCACCCGGAGGAAACCCACGCAGACACGGGTAGAATGTGCAAACTTCACACAGACAGTCGCCCGAGCGTGGAATCGAACCTGGGTCCCTGGTGCTGTGAGACAGCAGTGCCAATCACTGAGCCACCGTGCCGTACTTTAGGTCAGGGCTCTTGTGGTGCAGGGGTAATACCCCTACGTCTGGGCCAGAAGGTCTGGGCTCAAGTCCCATTTGCTTCAGAGGTGTGTCTGAGCAAAAATATCAATACTTCAGGACAATCAAGATCATCACGGGTAGAGGTGGCACAGTTCCTGACACACATACTTCTCAATCATCTTCACCCATTTGGCCAGCTTTGATGAATCTCTATCAGGAAAACTTGCTTTAGCAATGCTTCTCCATTAGTTTCATATCTGGCATAAACATAGAAAATGCTGGAGAAACTCAGCAGATAAGGCAGGATCTCTTAGAGAGACAAACAGGGTTAACGTTTCAAGTCCAATATGCCTCTTCTTCAAAATAATTCAGATTCAAATGTTGCCAGACTTGCAGAGTTTCTCCATAATTCTCTGTGATTGTTTCAAATTTCCAGCATTTTTGCTTTTAGTCATACCTGACATTCCAGCTTTGCAAACCCTATCCCTCATATGCCATATACAAGAGTATATTACTTTTATCTTTCAATGTCATGTTCAAGACTCGCTTCATCAAATAGTTTGTTGGGAACTATGGTTCAAACAGGATACATTCAGCTGTTCTCTTGCTTAACTTTATTACATTACTTTCTACACTATACCAAACATAGGTCTGGTTGTGCCTGGCTTTTCAATTTCTGTTTCTATATGAATTGATAATAATACTGGGTTCCACTTTGCACAGATTGTTCAGATATTTATAACAGTGGTGAAACCACAAGCGGCTATTACCAAATCAAGCCAAAATCTATTGCTGAACCATTTCTTGCATACTGTGACATGTCAGATGGGGGAGGATGGACAGTTATTCAACGTCGCAGTAATGGCAAAGTGAATTTTAACAGGTAAATGATCTGAATAAATGTCAAACCATACTGTAGCAATCGCTGTTCCCAGTGATTATCCAGTCATTATCCAGTCATTCTACTTCCTCTCTTTTAGAGACTGGGATTTTGCATATTGATGGTAGCCTGGCCCACTGGCTGGAAAATCTGGGCAATGTCACAACATGTGCCCATAGTTTTAAATTGGTTCTAACTGTATTCTGAATTGTAAATAAAGCACAATATAATTATTGAAATCCAACAGAAACCCGTTGGGAATGTATTGTAACTTTTTTCTGTCCATACATATTGTAAAATAAAAGATGTTATTTTGGATTTAACTTATATGGATTTTACACACTATAATGTCTAAAACGCTCAGTGCTTAACTAATGAATGTTAATTTACAAGTGGTACATGCAATCTGCTGAATGCTGTTATGTTTTCATGTAATATGCACATGTGCAATTAACACTGCTATTTGTCTCAATACCAATGCAGATAGGTCACAGAGAAAGTCATGATTCAACATGGTATGGAAAGATAGACTGATTTAAAAATGTCTCTTGTTAAACATAAAAATTGCCTCTCAATTAACCTGATTTGTTACTATGTACATACATTAACTTAAAAATATATTTTTAACATCTCTTTTATATTAAATTGTCAGGAAGCATTTTGAATAACTCAAGTGGGCTCATCATAGCAATTTTGAATTCTCATTTTGAAGTAGGGGCTCTCTAAGCCATAGAGCCAATAAAGGCAAGCATGCCATGTATCTTCTTTACTGCTTTATCCAATTGTGTTGTCATTTTCAGCGAGCTATGGACTTACATACAATCTGTATATCAGTGGTCTTAAAGGTAGTGTCGTTTACTGTCTATGAATGTCTCATTAACTTTAGGAATTGAGATTTGTTAACTGTATGATGCTATTTACATAACAGCATCTAAACTTTATAAATGTTATAATTAACAAACAAATCTTCACAATAAAGCAATTAAAATTGATTGATGAACAAAACTTGTACTCTCAGGTCATAGAAATCATAGAACAAAGCAAAACCATGAGTATAATGAACTTGCACACCTGTTTAGTCTGCTCCATTTTACACTCTAGAAACAGGAAATCTTCCAAATCTCTGCTGCTCATGCTTTACGTCACAGAAAATCCTGTTCTACTGTCAGCCCTGTGTTCACTGATCTACATTGGCTTCCAGTCAAGAAACACCTTGATTTTAAAATTCTAACCTATATTTACAAATCCAGCCTCATCTTTGCCTCTCCAGATCTCTGTATTCCCTGTAAGCCCTACATCCCTCAAAGATATCTGTGCTTCTCCAATTCTGCTCTCCCGTGCATTCCTATTGTAATTACTCAAATAGTGACAGACATGCCTTCAGTTACCTAAGCCCCAAGTTCTGGAAGTTGCTGTCTGCACCCCTCTGCTTCTCTACTCACTTTACTACTTGAAGTCACTTTGTAAAATCTACCTCTTTGACCAGGATTTTGGTCACCTGATCTAAAATATCTCTTGGTTGCTCAGCGTCTTAACTTATTTAATGATGCTCTTGTGAAACACCTTGGGATATTTCATTACATTAAAGGTACTATAAAAATGTAAACTGTTGTTGTTATAAATGTTATAAAACTGCATGTAACTGAAATAAAAATGAATGGAAATATTTTGTTCTGAAACAAAATGTAAGTGATCTGTATTAGATTTGCTATTCATACTTTCTTCAGAGGCTGGGATGACTATAAATCAGGCTTCGGATTATTTCAAAGAAGGAAAGATGAATATTGGCTTGGAAATGAAAAGATACATCAAATTCTGGCTGCAGGTAGGAATGTATTCAGCTTTGAAACATTGGAACAGTCCTACTTTATTTAGTGTTATAATTCACCAAGGAAAAAAAAGCTTTTAGACACAATAATAATCACCAAATGGACTTTTTCTTGACTAATAATAATTTCCTTGCAGGAAAGTATTTATTAAAGTTTGACCTCACAGACTGGAATGGAGATAAGAGGTACGCTACCTATGAAAAGTTTAACGTCTCAGATGAAATGGTGAGAGAAGTTGAAACTTGTTATAGATGTTATTTTAACTCTCAATTCAATAGACAAAAATAGGCAATTTCTTTTTTTGCTCTTTAAACCAGGATAAATACAGGCTAACATTCGGAGCTTATAGTGGGAATGCAGGCGATTCATTGTCTGGTGGCCTGGTCCCAGAGATTCAGTGGTCAGTTTCTCACAATGGGATGCAGTTCAGCACTTCAGACCAGGACAATGACAGATACCTACTTGGGAGTTGTTCGCAAGAAACAAAATCCGGTTGGTGGTTTAACAGGTATGAAGTTACATTTATTTATGCAAAATTCTGTGTATGCAAGTATTTATATACAATCGTTACTAAAAAGAATAATTATGGCAGGACAATATAATTGACCATCAACGTCTGCCCGAATAATAACAATTGAATTTGACACAGAAAGTTACGGCACATTTTTTTCATCTTTGTAACCAGTGGCCATATCAAAAAGAATTAAGTTAAATATAACAGATCGTGTAAGTTAGCTTTCCATGTGATACTGTCCGATTTTTCAAACTCAACCTCAAAACACGTTCCTTTATAGCATTAGTGTAGCACTTCCATTTTCTACACCCAGTGTCCTGCTAAAAGAACTATCCAGGGACCTCTGCTGAAACTATACGAGTGTGGTCACTTGGGGAAGACAGGACTCCATTTGCTTGGAATTTTGTAGTGATTGGAATAAGGGCCAGGTTGATCTTGTTGACTATAAGATCCTTGATTGGGGTTGTTAAACTGGGCCAACCAGGGAGCCTTGGCTGACAGATATAAACAGGAGATTCAGAAGGTGTCTTCAGTCTAGGCTTTGAGCTGGCTGGTCACAGTCCCTATACAGTGCACATGTAAATAAACGGTCACTTGGTGACGGGATAAATTCATCGTAATTTTATCACAAATAGAGGTCATTTAGCCCATCTCACCAGCAGCAGCTCTCTACAAGAGATTCCCTACCCAATTCCCTGCTGTCTCCTCTAATTTTTCAATTATTGTAATGGAATCCATTTCCCTTTTAAAAGCAATTTCAAAATCCTCACCCTCTTATAGTTTCATAGAGTCCCTACGGTGTGGAAACAGGCCATTCAGCCCATCAAGTCCACATCAACCCTCAGAGCATCCCTTACCCTATCATTTGCTATGGTTAATCCATATAGCCTGCACATCCCTGGGTACTATGGGCAACTTAGAATGACCAATCCACCTAACCTGCTTTTCTTTGGGCTGTGGGAGGAAACCACAGCACCTGGAGGAAACCCACGCAGACCCGGGCAGAATGTGTGAACTCCACATGTCCTAACCACCTACCATGTTAAAAAAAAACCCACACAAAGTTGGGATAATGCAGATTTCACTGAGTGCATTAGTGGTTCTGCAGGTACAGATATGGGGATCTGGAGCATGTGGAGCTCTGCCTAGTGGTGAAAGAACACAACTGCAGGCATGACTGAGTAACAGACTACTAATGCCTAGATAAGGCACGTACAACATTTACTTCAAATTTAATGTAAATAACTAGTTAACATAGCCTGACTATGTTAAACCAACCAAATCTTAAGTCAATTATTCTGTTTTGGCAGACCCAGTAACAATGAAACACTGTCATTATATTTTTGAAATTGCACAGGACAAACAGGATCAGAATTGCTTGAAAATAAGTTGACCAAAAAATCATGGCACTAGCTTAAGTAATAAATTGATGATTCGGAAGAAGAAAAATTAAAAATATGTCTGCTATCTATTTCGATGTGTTTCATTAGAGACCAATTAGATTTCTATGAATTATTTTTTGTTAATTTAAGCTGGAAATAAGTGAGAGATAAGCTGCTAACATTTGTGACATGCATCCCAAAAAAAAGAGATAGATTATTTATTTTTCACAGGATGCAAAAGTCTCGAATAAAGTGTGTTTGGGTAATCTCAAACTACTTCATGTTTTGTGTGTATTTCAAAGGTATTCACATTTAATCAATTGACTGACACATTCCAAGTGATCATTTATATTGAATAGATATGAGACACACACACACAGTAAGGCTGTGCCTGTAAAGTTGGTCATAAGGCGCTTTGTAGAAGCAGAGAGGGGCTGTGTCAAGTATCTAACTGAGCAGAAGTGCTTAATTCCAAAATATAACCAAGAACTGTGGGTGTGGTTCTGAAGAAGGTCTTGAAATGTTAACACTGTTTTCTCTCCACAGGTGCTGCCAGACCTACTGAGTTTCTCCAGCAAATTTCAGTCTTGTTTGCTTAACTCCAAATCTGGGTGGAAAACACTACTCATCACAGATAACAAGGTGTAGAGCTGGATGAACACAGCAGGCCAGGCAGCATCAGAGGAGCAGGAAAGCTGACGTTTCGGGTCTGGACCCTTCTTCAGAAAATGCTTCTTGGCCTGCTGTGTTCATCCAGCTGTACACCTTGTTTTCTCAGTTTCGCCAGCATCGGCAGTTCCTACTATCACTACTCATCACAGATTTTTTCTCACACTTTTTCTCACATACAAATTGCTGTGTTCAAGAATTAAACAAAAAAATTCCAAGTATGAATTCTGACCACTTTTGAGAAGGAGGGAGAAATAGATCAAATTGTAGACTTTGAAAGATCAGAAATCTTAAAGGAATAATTTTAAAGGGAAGTGGTTGGTTTATTGCACTCTATAGAAATTTAAAGAGCTAGAAATTTTCCAGGGTTGTGACACAGACTTGTCTGGCCATTAACTAGTCACTGGGATCAGATATCAAGTGCTATGTATGACAGGCAACCAAGCCATTATCACTCATTTTGTGTCACCACCCGAGATGAATTTCTTGTCAAACTTGTTCGTTTGTAAAAACCGGAAGAACTGTGGATGCTGTATATCAGGAACAAAAACAGAAGTTACTGGTAATGCTCAGCAGGTCTGGCAGCATCTGTGAAGAAAAAATCAGAGTTAACATTTCAGGCCCGGTGACCCTTCCTCAGTTCTGTTTTTGTCTGTTTGATTAAATCTGTGATGCCTCTGTCTGCACTACCTTGTAAAAATGTCCGTGTCTTTCATTTTTATGCAAAATCAAAGGTGTCATGCAACCAACCTTAATGGAAAATATTATCGACACGGCAACTACACTGGAAAGTATGATAAAGGAATTATCTGGTTCACCTGGACAGGCTGGTGGTACTCTTTGAAATTCACAGTCATGAAAATCAGACCACTCTACTTCTTCCCAAGTGCTGGAAGTGGAGATTATGAGAGCAAAACGGGGTAACATTCATTTGACAAGCAGTTATATCTTTAATACCAAATGTCAGGTTGCTTTTACTCAAAACAGAGAGAAATATTATGGAGTTCAACCTTTGTATTTTGTACGTTAATTCATTGTTAAGTGGGTCATTCTAATTTTTGTGACAATTTAAGAATTGTAATGACAAAATGTCAAGCCGTGTCAGCCATTTTAATTAGCAGAATTACCAATCTGCAGATAGCACGTTAATAATGACAAAATGAGGGCTAGGGAAGGGATATTTAACTTGCAGAAGGCCAAGACGTTTGATAGATCCAATGTCTGATTTAATATACAGCTGAGCCTGTAAATAGCTGAGCAGTTCTGGTCTCCTGAAATTAGTGAAGACTAAATATGGAAATCAAAGTTTACACTGGTTATATAAAACTTGGAAAACATAGAAAATAGGTGCAGGAGTAGGCCATTCAGCCCTTCTAGTCTGCACTACCATTCAATATGATCATGGTTGATCTTGCAATTTCAATATCTCATTCCTGCTTTCTCTCCATACCCCTTGATCCCTTTAGCCACAAGGGCCACATCCAGCTTCCTCTTGAATATATCTAACAAACTGACACCAACAGCTTTCTGTGGGAGTGAACTGCCCCAGGCCGTTTGGAGAAATGAGCTCAGAAACGCTCAACTTTTGCTTTTGTACATCGTGGAAAGCCAAGCAGCTTTTTCTTGAGGCCTCACCCCCACCAAAAGAGTCTCCAGCCTATTGGCAATGTTTTAGCTGCCCCACTCCTGACATTGCCTTTGCCCCCCCAGAGCTGACCTACCATCCGGCTCCTGATAAGATTTGGTCGATTTCCTCCATCCCCAGCCAGTGACCTGTTTTGCATCCACAGCTCACTGTCAACATTTAAATGTAGCCTGAAGCTTACTTAGTACGCCTCAGCCTCATACCAGCATGGACCAGCCCTTACATTAGCAACTGTATGACCATTCTGGATAGAAATGAAATGTTTTGATCAGCGTTGTTAAATATCCTGAGCTTAAATCTTCTGAAAGATGTTCAGGGATATGTTACCATACTGCACAGAATGTGGCATTTAAATTCACACTGAGCAATTGTTTATTGTTTCCTTTTTTTTCTTAAATTATATCATTGGGGTTTAAACATTTTGTTGATATTATGTCCAAATGAGTTCTTTCACAGAAAATAACTTTTGCTTCTAAATAAAAGATAAGTGCTGTGGTTGCTGGAAATCTGAAATACAGACTCAAAATGCTGGATATGTTCAGTAGGCATGGTAGCATCAGTGAAGAGAGAGTTAAGTTTCAAGTGCTTCCGGTTCTGAAGAAGTCATATTGGTCTTGAACTGTTAACTCTGCTTCTGTCTTCTTAGATGCCGCCAGGCTGAGGAGTGATCTTATGGAGGTTTATAAAATCGTGAGGGGCAAAGATAAGGTGAATAGCCAAGGTCTTTTCCCCAGGATAGTGGAGTCCAAAACTAGAGGGCATAGGTTTTAAGTTGATAGGGGAAAGATTTAAAATGGACCTGAGAGACAACTTTTCCACGCAGAGGCTGGTACTTATATGGAACAAGCTACCAGAGGAAGTGGTAGAGGCAGGTACAATTGCAACATTTAAAAGGCATTTGGACAGGTACATGGATAGGAAAGGTTAGAGGGATATGGGCCAAGTGCAGGCAAATGGGACTGGTTCAATTTTGGAAACCTGGTGGGCATGGATGAGTTGGGCCAAAGGGCTTGTTTCTGTGTTGATGACTCCACGACCTGATGAGTTTATCCTGCATTTTATGTTTGTGTTTACTTCTAATTGCCAGATTTAATAAGCCTTAAAGCATTGGAATTCATGAACTGTGTTGAAACTATTGTGAACATACTAGATCAGAGAAATAGGAATTGACTGATCATTTGGGAATATCCTCTTGTGGTTGACTAACTGGCTATACTTTAACCAATATGTATCATAATGCAATGCCAGCTTGAAATAATGAAAACTCTTGCAAAATAACATTGTTTAAGTGAGAAAGTACTTATTTTTATAAAGGTCTGGGAATTTGACTTTTTTCCCCATCCATATATAATGATAAATGGATGTTAAGTCGTAGAATGCCAAGAAGATTAAGATTATTTCTAATCCTTCTGGCTTGACCATATTTCAGCCTGTATGCTGAATTGTTGAAATAAATGCTGGTATTACTTTAATAAAGCTATACAAATGTAAGAGCTTTGACTTTAATAATAACCCTGTACAATTAAAATAAAGGTGTGTAAATAAGTAAACTTTATAGACAAATGCTTCTGTTCATTCTGTATTTTCCCCAATCTTTCCTTGACTGTCAGCTGTTAGATCAACTACTTGTAGTAAATACATACCTATTTCTACAAAAAGCTAATACCTAACCAAAAGACCATTATCATTGCAACAGAGTCACCACAGAAGCTGTTTTACAAATACTGGAATTTCTGTGTTATAAACAGTCAACACATTATTAAAACCTGTGCTGAATCACAATAACATTTTTTTTGGGTGAGAACATATCTTTACACTTCTTACAATAAAGCTTAATTCTTTAGCTTTATCATTTCCCTTTCAATGTATCTTGTAGTTTTGCAATCCTTTGCAGTATTTGATGTGGAGGTGCCAGTGTTGGACAAAGTCAGAAATCACAGGACACCAGGTGGTGAAGTGGACTTCACCTGACAAAGGAGCAGTGCTCCAAAAGCTTGTGATTTCAAATAAACTTGTTGGACTATAACCTGATGTTGTGTTACGTCTAACATTGCAGTATAGAACATACATAGAAAGATTAAGTTTTGGTCAATCAACATTTAGAAAATACAGTTTAAGGAAGATACACAGCCATTCTTCTTTCAAATGGTCTTTTCCTTCTGCTTTTCACCCTTGCACCCTTCCATACCTGAGCTTGCTAGATAGTAGCTCATATGCAAGACTGATAGCACAAGAAAGGATGCAAAACTGGGATTTTTTTGGTCTTTGTGGCTCACTACGCATCCTAGAAAATTGGAAAGTTCCAAATTATTATTATTATACCTTTTATTTCTCTATTTTTGAAGTCCTTCTCTACTATGCATCATTCTGGTGCAATATGATGACAGATGACTGGTAGTCAATCATCAGTTCTGAGGAAGGGTCACCGGATCCGAAACATCAACTCTGATTTTTTCTTCACAGATGCTGCCAGACCCACTGAGCTTTTCCAGCGACTTCTGTTTTTATTGCTGATATTGGTCAGTAACTGCCTTTTCTGAAAGATATGCAAAAATAATCTATTAGGGTTGTTTTCTCAACTTTTGCCCTCCATTTTGAGAAGAAACTTGCCTCTATTTAACATCACTGCCCGTCCCAACACCCCCTCACTATGTCTTCCACATGGTTCCCTCACCACTGTCAATCTTTTTTTTAATTAATTCAAGGGATGAGGGCATTGCTGGCTATGCCAGTATTTACTGCCTGTCTCTAAATGCCCAGAGGGCAGTTAGGAGTCAACTAGATTGCAGTAGGTCTGAAGTCACATGTAGGCCAGACCAGGTAAGGATGGCAGTTTCCCTCCCTAAAGCACATTAGTGAACCTTCCAACAATCAACTATGGATTCATGGTCATTATTAGACTCTTGACAGTCTGAAAGTTCTTGTTGTTGCAAAATCGCCTTTCATATCCAGGGTCCAAGTGTTTATGAACAATCATATTATCTGGCACAACTAAAGCTGCATTGTTCATATTAAACAATATTCACCAAAACTTTGACTTGACAAAGGACTTGTGCCCAAAGATGCGACTATACATTTTCCCAGAACAAAATTGGAAGAGCTACAAGAATCACGTTCTGTCCTGCTTCTTCCATATTAACAGGAAATGCAAACATGGAGCTAAGGTCAACACCACACAGAAACAATATTTCAGACTTTGCTTTAAGAATAGCAAGAGAATCTCCAATAACCTTTTAACATAAAACCCTCAGGATTCCATAATCCTTATTTTAATGCTTTCCTGAAAATATCTTAAATTGTAAACTCAAGTCAATTTTGAAAATGTGCTACTTTAAAATGGCATTGTTTGACATACACATGTTCTGTCTAAATACATGAAGCCTAACTTCACATTTAATTTGACAGGAAGTTAATTAAAAAGACAATAATGTTTAGAATTCAACTGCCTGTCACTTCCTTAAAAAAATTGATATTATCTATCTGTCTGATGCAGACATTTTACATTTGACATTCAAGTAATTTTTAAAATTTTAATCTCTATGCCTTCAAAATTGAACAATATTTTTAAATATCTCTCGGGAGTGCATTATTTTTAAAAAATCATGGCAATTCTTAAACTGAATCCAAATTGTGGATTCTACAGCTTTAAATTGCCTTTGTTTATTAAAAAAACATTTATTTTTCATAAGGGAAACAGAAAGGGATGTAATATGTAATACTACAGAGCTGAGCAAAATATTGCACATATTCTTCGTAATGTTTCAGAGATTTTCTGAACAAGGGTCTAGACCTGAAACGTCAGCTTTCCTGCTCCTCTGATGCTGCTTGGCCTGCTGTGTTCATCCAGCTCTACACCTTGTTATCTCTCTTCCTCGTAATGTACCAAGGTCAAATAAAGGATAGCTAATTTAACCAGGATAAATAGAGTTTGTCCGTTTTGTTGTTATACTAAACACACAAGCAGAAAGTCTGTTAGTTCCATAACAAAGTTGGTGTATTAAACAGTACTGTCCAATCCGTTTTGAGAAAGGAGAGAGATTAACTGGCATATAAGGGGAGAACAAAGGGGAATAAGGGTGAGTGGAAGATGAAACATGTCTCTGTGATACATTTAAGCTAAGAGAAGCAGTGAGCATGGGGAGGGCTGCGGGGGTGGGCAGGGGGTGGTGGCGTAGTAAATAAACCGGTGGCACACCAAAAAAGAGTCTAAAAGATGGGGAAAAGTTGTCCAAGTGTTCCTTCTGATTAATTTGGATTAAATATGCAAATTAGCACCATCAAGTTGTGGGAAGGTGATGTATCTGTAAAGCAGTCTTGCACCACATAGCTGAGAGGATCTATCTTGTAATACACGACTTGTGCAGAGTTACAAGAACTTGGTGACAATCTTATTGCACAATGATGAGGCTCTGTGCTGTTAATTGATATGGTTGCTTTGAAAATCACAACCAGGTAAAGCCTGGTTAGCTCCAGGAGGAAGATTTGTTAATTCATCCATCTGCCATCCAACAACAACGATTTACATTCAGATAGTTCCAAGATGCTGCACAACTGGAAATGGACAGGGAACCTGATGCTGAGCCATGTACAGAAATACCTCAATGATTGAAAGTTGCTCCACATGAACATTGTTAAAAAGACATTTAAAAGAGTAGAGAAGCAAAGGGCTTTGGAGTAGAGTTCCTGAGATCAAGACCAGTATTTTCCATGTCTTTTAAAAGGGTGGGAAAAGTTCAGTTTCTCCAAGGTGGATTAAAGTTTTGCTCTGTCAGAACCTTTCAGGCACCAACAAAGCCTGTTTTGCATTTATTAACATACCATTGTTAACATCCCAGTCCACTGGATTTACATCTGTGGGTACAATCTTGATAGACAAAAACAGGAAACCAATGTGTTCACAAAACAGACTATGTATACGAGGCACATACCTGGTAGAGTAGGCTTCTTCCTGTAAACTCCAGTCAATACAAACTTTTCCAGTTATTTGGCTCCGTTGTAACCAAGGCATCACTGTGCCCAAACATTCATAGTGTCAGGATGAAGCCTCTCCATGTTGATCACCTCTTGAGAAGTCTCAGTCCCATCAGCCTGGCTTATTGTTGTTAAGCATGAACAGTATTAGGGGTGAGGCCTGACTAGGGCCAGAAGCCTGCCCAAGTGAGGCATCACACTTGCTGACACCAGCAAACCTGAAGAAAGTGGCATTGAACTCAAAAGACCACCTCCTGTGATTGTGTCCTTGTCTCATTTAAAGTCATTGGGGAAATGCTGTCAGACATATACATTCTCCTAGTTAAGAGGTCAGCGACTTGATGGTGAGTGAGGAGCTAAGCTTTGTGGTTCCTTTTATGTTTTAAGTAGATGGATGAGAGGCAGTACCCCTGTGATGTAATGTATCCTGTGGTGGTACAGTAATAGCTGCAGTGAATGGACATTGACCGCACCTGATGGAGATGCCTGGGAGCCAACCTCCTGTGTGACACTCCTCTGCAGAGACAACCCTACAGTGTTAACTCACACTCAGAGGGGCAGAGCCAACCCTTGAGGAGTGGGAAACTTAGGCAACTAACACTGTGCATTGTCCTCTGCTGCCAAAGTACAGGGCCCAGGGTAGTCACCCCATTTGCCCTACGCGAGGGACAGTTCTGTACGGGATCGTGATGCACACCCTGGTACACACCCTGGCAGAGCATGGCAGATCATTCAACCTCTTGCAGCAATGAAAGTGGGAGTTCTTGAGCCATCCATTGGTACTGATCTCCACAGCCACCTCTGGCCAGGCTGCTTTCATAAGTCAGGGTTGTATCTTGTTGGCATCCATATGAAAAATAGCTTTTCTTCTCTCTTGCACAGCATTCAGAAGAACCTTCAGGGAGTCATTGCTAAATCATAGTTCCACTATTTTAGCTGGATTTTAGACATCTCTCGGGGGTGGGGGCATTGGAATCAATGAAAAGAGTTGTGTAATCTCCCTGGGAAGAGTGTTCTGCGGTCAGCATCTCAGTGTAGCAATCTAGGAAGAGCGCCCCACAGTAAGCAATCACAGGGAAGTATTCTGGGAAGAGTATCAAAAGTGACGTAGAGCAAGCAGAAGCAGCACATTGGGAAAGGTCAGGTGAGTACTCGTACTAAATTTATCCCTTAACTTGTAAGGTCTTTATGTTGGGTTTAGAGTTTATAACAGCAATAGTGCAGTGTTTCTGAGAAGAAGGGCCCTGGAGTAACTAGTATTCTTTGATTTTAAAGGAAATCTAAGAGTTTAATTTAAAGGTGCGTGTCATGGCAGGAGAGCTGAAGGCAGAAAATAGGGAGTTAAGAAGCAAGTTAAAAAGTAGGACCTAAAAGATAGTGATCTCAGGAATGCTTCCAGAGCCACGTGCTAGTCAGAGTAGAAACAGCAGGCTATATCAGATGAATATATGGCTGGAGTGTTTCAGATTCCTGGGACATCAGGACTGGTTCTACGGGATAAAAACCGAAAGAACTGCGGATGCTGTAAATCAGGAACAAAAACTGGGGAAGGGTCACTGCACCCGAAACAGTAACTGTTTTCTCCTTCACAGATGCTGCCAGTCCTGCTGAGCTTTTCCAGCAACTTTGTTTTTGTTCCTGGTTCTACAGGAGGTGGGACTAGTATGAGCTGGAAGGGTTCTACCTGGGCAGGACTGGAACTGATGTCCTGTGGGGGAGTATGTGCTAGTGGAGATGGGAACCTATACAGGGAGGCAGGAGAGAGGGCAAAAACAAAAGATAGAATTGTAAATAAGAAAAAGTGTTAGGCAGAGAATTCAAGGCCAAGAATCAAGCATGGCCTCAGTGCAAAATAATGCTAATGGGTCTAAGAATGTTAAATTTTAAATCTAGGATGGAATGAACAGAGTTGATAAGAGCAAACAGTGGATGTGGTTTACTTGAACTTTCAGAAGGCTTTTGATACGGTCCCATTAATGTATAAAATTAAAGCACATGGAATTGGGTGTAGTGTACTTACGTGGCTAGAGAACTGGTTCGCAGACAGGAAACAAAATTAGAAATAAAGGGGAGTGGCAGGTAATGCCTAGTGGGATCAATGTTTGAACCACAGCTATTCACTGTATGTATTAATGATTTAGATTTGGAAATTAAATGTAACATCTCCAAGTTTGCAGAAAGCACTTAGCTGGGTGGGAGGGCGAACCGTGAGAGGATGCAGAGATGTTTCTGTGTGATTTGGACAAGTTGAGTGAACAAATGCATGGCAGATGCAGTAAAATGTGAATAAATGTGAAGTTATCTACGTTGGTAGCAAAAACAGGAGGGCTGATTATTATCTGAATGGGATAGATTGGAAAAGTGGGAGGTGCAATGAGACCCGGTGTCTTTGCACATTAGTTGCTGAAAGTAAGCAAGCAGGTACAGCAGGTGGTGAAGAAAACAAATGGTAAGTTGGCCTTCATTGTGCGAGGATTCAAGTACAAGAGCAGGGGTGTCTTGCTGCAACTTTACAGGGCATTGGTGTGACCACAACTCCAATATTGTGTGTAGTTTGATCTCCTTATCTGAGGAAGGATGTTCTTGCTGTAGAGGGAGTGCAGCAAAGGTTTACCAGACTGATTGCTTGAATGTATGAGGACATACCGAATTGGTTAGGACTATGTTCACTGGAGTTTAGAAGAATGAGTGGGGATCTTAAAAAAAACCTATAAAATTCTAACAAGACTAGACAGGGTAAATGCAGGAGGAATGTTGCTGATGACCAGGCAGTCCAGAACCAGGGGTGACAGTGTAAAGATACAGGGTAGGTCATTCAGGATAGAGATGAGGAGAAATTTCTTCGTCCAGGGAGTGGCCTGTAGAAATCTCTGTCTCAGAAAGCGATTGAGGTTTTAGATATATTTCTTAGGGCTAAGGGGATCGAAGGGCATGGGGTGAAAGCAAGAACATGGTACTGTGTTGGATGATCAGCCGTGATCACAATGAATGGCAGAACAGGCCTGAAAGGCCAAATGGCCTACTCCTGCTTCTATTTTCTATGTTTATTTTTCTATCTTTCCTGGATTGCTGGAAGTAAAGTGCAATCTGGGTGCCTTTTAAATATGGTGTTTTGATGTTAGATTCTAACAGGGGGTCAGAACATCCTGCCCAGAAAATCTGGCATTTTACTCCTGCAGGAATATGTAAGAAGCTGAAAAGAATGTAATTACATGGAAAAACCCAAACAGTCACAAAAAAAAAGATAATTCTGCCCCTATACCAGGAAAATTAAAGATCTATAGCCAATGGTAAAGTAAGGCAGAATGTAAAAAACAAAACTAAGACCAATACACCAAAAGGTTTAGAATTTAAAGTTATAACTGGAGTTCAATTATTAAAATGTGTCTTACAATATCAATGTGTTATCAAGTGTTTAACTGCCCCCCACAGAATATATTGCAGATGTGTCACCATGAAGATGCTGTTGAACTCCTTATCCAGCTTGTATTTGGTTCTGTAGGTATTATTAATTTCTAAGTGTGATTCAGAAAACAAAACCCTGGCAGCGCATGTCTTTTATGTAAAATAAAAGCAAATCACTGTATGCTGGAAATCTGAAACAAACAGAAAATGCTGGAGAAATTCTGGCAGCATCTGTGGAGATCTCATGTCTTTTATGTGTAACATCACTAGAAATCACAGCTTTAAAAGTAATACACTGATTTGAGAGCTTTGCAGCTTAGAATTTATTATTAAACAAAAGTCACCACATTGAAACACAATTGCATATCTAAAACCTTTGCACACAGACCTCAGATGTGCATATTTGCACATAAATCCAAATAATACCCTGCGCATTGAGGTTCTTTTGAAAATGTGAAGTACCACTGCGCTTAGCTGGGTCATCAATATCAGTAGAACACATAGCTGAGTAACAATTAAGGTTACAATGAGGTTAACATTTTATCCTTCAACTAGTTTCAGCAAAGTTGCTTTGAAATTCTGCACAAATTTTTCATTAAAAATTTTCTTCCCTGAAATCCAACTCTCTTCCTGTATCAAGAAATGGAGATCAGATAGTGCCCCTATAGAATTCAAAGTTGGCAAATCTAAGGTCAAGATCAGGGAAGAACGCAGAGAAGAACTATTCTTGCTTTAGGATACATTCTCATTTTCAAGAGGAAATTTTCCTTATAAAAAATCTCTTTTCATTAACAAGATAAAGTCACTTTCACAAGACAGGTTAAGATTAAGACACAAAAAATTATTTTACATAGATTTTAGAAGTTTTTTTTCTCAAGTTTCTCAGATCACCAGCTTTTCATTACTTAAAGTACTGGTGTCTTCTTCATCTTCGTTTACATGTGAGCTAAAATGTGCTGGCAAATCGATTATCTGCTGCTCTGAAGTAGTTAACTCAAAACCAGAATTGTCATACAGGAGAAAGTTGGGATCAGAAGGGAAACTTTGACACCGATCATGTCTGTATTGCTGACGAGGTAATGGATTGCTCTGTGGAGACGTCTGTTTGAAACAGTTCTCAGAGTTGGGATCACTGACTTTAGGAGTCAATTTATATCTGTTCGTCGATGTGCTTGATCTTCTCTTGCCTCTATAGGTTTCTGAGTTATTAAGAATACCACTTGTCATTTGCTGATCATTTGTCAGCTCAGTTTTACAAGTTTGTGCCCCAGGCTGACTACTTTTCTTGTAATATTTTGAGGGCTCTGTAGCAAATGCACCGCAAGTCCGGCCATGATATTTTGCTGAGTTAGCATTACTGAATCTGAACTGAGCTATAGCCTTGTCACCTGTGGATCTGTCAGTCACAGCTGCTGGCCTGCAAATAGCTCTGGAGTGAGACAGGGATGGAAGCTTCTGCGTACTAGTGGACAGACTTCTTTCTCTGTAGAACTTTGCAGTTTTGCATTCATTGAAGCTAGATGTTCTCCTAAAATTAGGATTTCTGCCATTCCCTCTTTCATACATCTCTATCTCAGTTTCACAATGCCTGAACTTTCCGGGCCTACCTGGAAGTGTTTTATTACTTGCTTCACAATTAGGTCCCATGCTGTTTACTTGTGGCATTTGGTATGGCAGGAAACAGTCAACAAACGGTTCTGGAAATGGTTGAATTGTATAATCCATCCTATGGTTTGGTTTTTCTGTTTGTTGGTTGTAATAAATTGACTTCTGATCTATGAATGGAGATTTAATACGAAATCTATTTGTGCTACTTTCTATGTCGCTTTCCTTGTCCATATGGGGTGCAATGATAGTGGTGGCATTAGTTTGATCTACTTCTGTAACTGGGGCTCCTGCTTCATTAATGATCGTGTCATCTAGAGGGTGCTGTGTTACATGATATACCTGAGTTGCTTCCGTTATCCCTTTCTTTTTCATTTCTTTCAATTGTTGATGTGCCAAACGATATCCAAATATAGGAGGGATCACTTTCTGAGCACTTTGTTGCCCTGGGTTTTCTTCAGCCTGTGATTCCTGATTTGGAAGGAAATGCTGGCTCCTCCTGTACGTTAAAGGGATATCTATACCATCATTGAGCTTTAGTGGGGCAACATTGTCAGTTAAAAAGTCATGTTGATGGCTCAGGTCGCAGAAGTTTCTTTCATTTTCAAGGGTTTTCCTGAAACTGTGTTGAGGTCCCGAGCCCTGTCTTCCTGCAGTACTGCAGTTTTGTTTCTTACGTGATAGTTTTGTCCGTATAGTAATAGCAATGGTGGCAATGATTATCACCAGACAGAGAGAAATGCCTGTGATCGTTACTATATTGCCTGTGTTATATGCTTCATTGTGAACTGTTCCAGATTCCTGCCCTGTACAATGAAAGAAATGAAATACTTAAGTAAACAAACACACTTTAGGCAAATAGAAACAACAATAGGCTATTGAACATTTCCTTCCCTCTTCCCCTCCTCACAAGCCTGTTCTGCTATTGAGGTAGATCAGGGCCGACCCTACCTCCATCTAGTTACCTTGATTCCAGAATCATGAATCACACTTACCAAATAAAATATTTTCAATCTGTTTTGAAATTTTCAAAACCAGCCTTTCAGAGCAGAGAGTTGATTTCCTTTAGCCTTTGTGCGAAGGGGTGTGTTGTGACATCACCATTTTATGGCCTAGTCATAATCTTGTTCTAGACTCTCCCACCAAAGAAGACAGTTTCTCTCTGTCCGCTCCATTAGGCATAACACTCATAGGTCACCCTTAATCTTCAATATTCAGAGAAACATGAACTTAATTAATGAGTCTCCCGCAAGATTTAATGTGAATATTTCAGTTAAAGTCACTAAAAAGACAATTAGAAACAAAACCATTTCAGGGAGTTAAGCTAAAAGGGTTACTAAACATGCTGACTATGTGAAATTAAAATCAACAAAGCTGTTTAGTATGATTCTATACTTGGTCCCCTTACCCTGCACTCCTTTATTTTTGTTTGTTTCATGCCTCCACACACATCGTGCCCTCTTTTGGAGAAATACTGGGAGATTTCGAAGAATTATAATGCTGATCACCAACTTGTTGCAATACCTCATGAATAGTCTTTCCATGGATACAAGTTCTGGGATGGGTCTTTAACTTGGAGCTTCTGGTTTGGAGCATTACTACCCACTGAGCCACAAATGCTCCCTCTATGCCATTAAAAACAGAGAAAAACTATGTCAAAATTTCAGGGGATTATATTCCAATACTGGAGTGGCACCAGTGGACATTTACTTGATCTCCTATTTCTTCTTTTTGCATGCCTTACCAACAGTGCAAATTTTCTACGTAAACTAGCATCCGCTCCCACAACCACTGATGATCAGTGGCACACAGTATGAGGTATCTACAAGATGCACTGCAGAAAATTCACCAAAGATCCTCAGACAGCACCTTCCAATCCCACGACCACTTCCACCTAGAAGGACAAGGGCAGCAGATACATGGGAACACCATGCAGGCACGTTGAAGTCCCCGCTGAGCCACTCACCATCCTGACTTGGAAATATATCACTGTTCCATCACAGTCACTGGATCAAAAGCATGGAATTCCCTCCCTAATGGCATTGTGGGTCAACCTACAGCGTGTGGACTGCAGTGGTTCAAGAAAGCAGCTCACTACCATCTTCTCAGGGGCAACTGGGGATGGGCAATAAATGCTGGCTAGATGGCGACACCCATCCGTGTGAATTAAATTAAAATATTAAACTAAGCTAAAAACTTTCTACATCTCCGGTTTTGCTTATTGCATATTTCTGTGATGCGTGTGGTCAAAAGTTGCATAGGATCTCTACAGTGTGGTAGCAGGTCATTCAGCCCATTAGGCACACACTGACCCTCTGAACAGCATCCCACCCAGACCCTGTATTTCATGCAGCTAATCCACCTAGCCTGCACATTTTTGGACTGTGGAAGGAAACTGGAGCAAACCCACGCAGAGACAGGGAGAATGTGCAAACTCTACACAGACAGTCCCTCAAGGGTGGAATTGAACCCAGGTCCCTGGTACTGTGAGGCAGCAGTGCTAACCACTGTGCCACCATGCTGCCCCTACCCACAGATCCACACTAACTGGGATTGTCCTTAGAACAGTGAAGGTTAGGGGGAAATCTAGTCAAAGAGTTGAAATTTATAAGAGGTTTCATAAGGCAGATGGGAAGAAATTGTTTTCTCTGGTAAGTTGATCAGCAGCCAGCATATGCAGATTTAAATTATTAGACAAAGAACTGCTGGGAGATGAGTTTTTTTTTCAAATGCAGTATTTTGTTTTATTTATTCATGGATTGAGAGCATTGCTGGCTGGGCTAGGCCTTTATTGCCCATCCCATAATTTCCCCTTGATCTGAATGACTTGATACAGCCATTTTAGAGGGCAATTAAAAGTCAACCACATTGTGGTGGGTACAGAGTCACATGTGGGCCAGATCAGGTAAACAGATCTCCTAATTGTTGAATTGTTATGATTTGGACTGTGCTGGCTGAAAGACTAATGGAAGCAAATTTACTATTAGCTTTCAAAAGTCAAATTTATGTGTTTGAAAAATCATATAGAGAAACTGCAGGGGAGTGGAACTAATTGTATAGCTCGTTCAAAGAGCTGAGACAGGCAAGATGGACTGAACGGTCTTCTTCCTGGTTCTATAATTTCACCTGTCACATGGTTTATTTCTTTTTATTGATTATTGGCTCCTTTTCTTTTTGGATTTTCTCCCTGTCTTCTTCTGAACATGGGAACTTAATATGGGCAGACAGTGAATCTCTAGTACTTTATCTAACGGGGCTATGTTTTCTAACATATCACACTGCACTCGAAAGTGCACAACTATATATGAAGTACGGTACATTCAGATTTTTAAGTGACACACTCAAGAACTAAATAAGCAGGTATGTTACTTTCTATTCAGGAAAGCTTTTCATCTACTGAATTCACAGAAATTAGTTTATAATGCTCATTCTTTCCATATTCAAAATAGTTCCAGAAGCAACATAACGCAAATATTGTCACTTGCTGTTTTAAAACATTGCCAGTGTACTTTCATATCCAATCATTCATTTGATTTGCAAGCAATTGTCTGCAATAGAATTTGTTTCCATGTGTACTCTCATGTAGGTGCAAATTACTGCAGATGCTGGCTGGAATCTGTACTAAAAACAAAAAATGCTGGAAATCAGAGCTGGCCAGGCAGCATCTGCGGGGAGAGAACAAGCTAATGTTTCGAGTCTAGATGACTCTTCATGCTCTCTCTCCACGGAGGCTGCCTGACGTGCTCTGATTTCCAGCAATTTTTGTTTTCAATAATCTCACATCCCCATTTCGCTTTCATTTTTTAAATATCACTTTCTCAATTGCTCTTATCTTAGCTTCTTGTAAAACAAAATGCCCCTGTATTAATACCATCACCCTTCATGACTCTATCCTGTCACTGTTGAGTTCCTTATTACAGTATCATTGAGCAATGTCCTACTCTTCTGTCATGTCTACCATCAGTTAAATACAATGTATGTAAGTAAACAAGAAAAAGAAGAAATAAAAACATAAATTACTGGGAAAAACTCAGCAGGTCTGGCGGCTTCTATGGAGAGAAATCAAAGATAATGTTTCGGGTCCAGTGACCCTTCTTCAGAAGTGATGCATAAGTGTCTGAGAGCTTTGAATGTTTTCTTTGAAAAGTAGAACATTTACATTTAATGCATTTACTTACCTGCACAATCCACAAGTGAACAGGGGGAGACTTCTTTCTCCTCCCCATTACAAGAAATTGTTCCCGAGAAGGACACAATACATTGTCGGTATCTCTCACGTACTCCATCACCACAAGTGACACTGCATGGGCTCCAAGACAGCCAAACATTCCCTCTTTCTATAAACATGAAAAAAAGATTATTACCTGAATAATTATACCTGGGGGTTAGTTTGTGTTTAATTCCATTCCACAGGATTTACCACAATCTTTCATGCAGCTCCCTTTACCCCCAAAAGCTCAATGGGTAAATGCACCATGTGCAGAGGGTAACAGTTCAATCCGTGATCTCTGGTTTGTTCTGAGTTCATTGAAATTAAGCAGAATTTTAAAAAAACGCAGCAAAGTTTCAGACTTGGATTAAGGAGATGAAAAATAAGCCAGAGTGCTTACTTCTAATGCAGTGACTCCCGCTCAAACTGCATGTACAAAGACAGTGGGCGGCAAAAGACTGGGCTCTGTTGTTACAATTCTGTGAGCAAATAGTACTTGCTAGGAACTTACAGAGCAGTACCAGTGAAACGCCTGAAACTCCATAACTCACAATCAAAAAGGATAACTTTTAAAAGGACATCATGATAAAATATCAAATAGCAAAATAACAGAAAAGTATTATAATAACCGACTACATGACCAATCAGTGAAACCTACAGAGTTCCACATTTATATTTTGGCTAAACTTTAGGAACTGGCACTGAAGCAATATCTGATTGACTACAAAAAGAGGTGTAAGTACTGTGGACTGTGTGAAAGGTCACAAACTTAAGACACAGTTCTGCATTTGTGCTATCTGAAGGTAATTACAATGTAATCATACTGCATTGTGCAATAATAAGCTCAATGTCTTTTTGTGGTTTATTAGTGGATTGCCTGCACACAAACATGTTTTAATTCAGCATTCTCCCATTACTGTAATCCAGTGATTTGGGCACTTATATCTTGGATACCTGTACCCCGAGCTCCTATAACCTGGGCATTTCAAAGAATCCATATTGTGTGGAAACAGGCCCTTCAGCCCATCAAGTCCACACTGACCCTCAGAGTATCCCACCCAGAGCCATCCCCCTATAACCCACCTAATCTACACATCCCTGAACATAATGGCCAATCCACCCAGCATGCACATCTTTGGACTGTGGGAGGAAACTGGAGCACCCACAGGAAACCCATGCAGACATGGGGAGAATGTGCAAATTCCACACAGACAGTTGCCTAAGGGTGGAATCGAACCTGGGTCCCTGGTACTGTCAGGCAGCAGTGTTAACCACTGAGCCACTCCCTTAGGGAGCTATACCCTGATACCTGTATCCTGGATTTCTGTATCCTAAGCATCTCTACCAAAGGTACCTTTATCCTGGGTGCTCAGAGGGTTAAAAGAGCAGCCTATTGTGACTTGTTTCCCCTTCCTCATTCTTTGAAAGTGCCACAACTCTGTTCCTTTTTGTGTCCTGATAGCCCCGCTGAGATCCTGACTCATTAGTGGTTGGCACAGCTTGTTGGTGACCAAACAAACTGGGTCAGTCAGATGGTAAGTAACAAAAATTTCAACGTGCTCATTCACTCATTGATTGGAAGTACAAAAAGAAGCCTAGGGAAACTGGAGTTAATGGAAATCAGGGGAAGACACTCCATTGATTGGAGTTATATGTAGCACAAAGAAAGATGGAGGTTAATCATCTCAAACATCCCAGCAGGAGTTCCTCAGGATTGTGTCCTTAGTCCAACCATTTCCAGCTGGCTCATCAATGACCTGCCCTCCAATATAAGGTCACAACAGGGGATGTTCACTGATGACTGCACAATAGTCAGCACCATTTATGACTCTTCAGCTACTGAGGAGTTCATGTATAGCAGGACAAGATAATATCCAGGTTTGGACTGACAAATGGCAAGTAACATTCATGCCACATGTGTTAGGCAATAATCATCTCCAATAACCATTGCCCCTTCACATTCAATGGCATCATCATCACTGATACCTCCACTCAATATCCTGGGACTTACCACTGACCAGAAACTAAACTTGTCCAGCTATATAAACACTGTGATCACAAGACCATGCCAAGAGGCTGGAAATTCTTCAGTGACTAACTCACTTTCCTGTCTCCCCAACCCTTGTCCACTATCTATAAAGCATGAGTCAGGAGTGTGGTGGATTACTTTCTACTTGCCTGGATGAGTGCAGCTCCAACACCACTCAAACAGTTGACACCATCCAGAACAAAAGAGACTGCTTGATTGGCACCACATCTAGCACCTTCAACATTCACTCCATTCATCACCAATATGTAGTGACAGCAGCGTGTGTGACCAAGATGCACTGCAGTAACTCACCAAGACTTCTCAGGCAACACTTCCCAAATCTATGAACTTTGTCATTGAGAAGAACGAGGGCAGCAGATACAAGGCAATGCTAGCACCTGCAAGTTCCCTTCCCAGCAACACACTTAGAATTATTTTAACTTCAGTGGTGGAAAAGCCTCTAGAAACTATTATTTTAGATAGAATTAGTACTCACATGGAAAAGGGGGTTGGTTAGAAAGAATCAATATGATTTCTTAAGGGGAAATCATACTTAACTAACTTGGCGTTTTTGAAGAGATACAGAAAGCCTCGATGTTTGTAATGCTGATTATATGGCGTACATGGACTTCCAGAAAACATTCAATGCAGTTCCACATGAGAAACTTACGAGAAAATTTGTAACACATGGAACAAAAGGGATAGCAGTAATGTGGATACAAAATTGGCTGATTAATAGGAAACAGAAAGTAATGGTCAATTGACATTTTTTTGGTTGGAGGAGGGTTTGTAATGGAGGTCCCCACAGGTCAATACTGTAACCTTTGCTTTTCCTGATGTATTTTATTGATCTAGATCTGGTGTGCAGAGGGCAAGTTCAATGCTGCAGAACAAAAGACTTGAACACAACCTGTAAACATTGTAAACTGTGGGGAGGACAGAGAGGAACTTCAACAGAACATAAACAAATTAGTAGAGTGGGCAGATAGGTGGCAGGTAAAGTTCAATGCAAAAAAGTGTGAGGTTATGCATTTTAGTCGGACGATTATGATCAGGCAACATAAAATAAGGAGTACAACGGACGCTAAAAGGAAATTTGATAGAAGTTTTCAAAGTCATAAAGGGGCTGAATAGAGTAGATAGGGAGAAACTGTTCCGACTTGTAAAATGATCATGAACCAGAGGCACAGATTATAAGTAATTTGCAAAAGAAAATATGATGTGAGGAAAATTCTTTTCGTAAAACTAGCAGTTTGGATCTGCAATTAGCTGGCTGCAAGTGTGGTGGAGGCAGGTTCAATTGAGGCATTCAGGAGGGCATTGGATGATTATGCAAAGATAAATAACTTGCAGGGGTGTGAGGAAAAGGCCAGAGAATGGTACCAAGTCATGATGCTTACTTGGCGAAGTGGTGCAACAGGACGGCCTTAGAACCGCTCCAAGCATTAACACCATTGTGACTCTATCATCAGTCCTTCACTGTCCCTGGGTTAAAATTCTGGAACTCCTTCTCTAATAGCATTTTGGGGCTTCATCCACCAAATGGATTGTAGCAGTTCAAATAAGCGGCTCACACCACCTTGTCAAGGGCGACTAGAGATGGACAATAGATGCTGGCCTAGCCAGCAATGCCCACAGACCATGAAGGAATAAAACAAAATGATTCTTTAAATTGCTGGATCATTATTTACAGGTATCAAAAACAAAGCAATCCGTGGTGCTAAATGTGCCCATGCTGCCTCAATATTCATGCTGTGCTTCTAATGAAATGAATTGAACACATGTCACAGGAGCATTATAAAATAAATAATGACATTGAAGCACACTATGAGCTATTAGGTCCGATACCAGAAAGATTGCCAAAAGAGGTAAGGAGGGTCTCAAAGGAGGAAGAGGTGCAGGGAACTGATACAACTGCATTTTCTAAAACTTCTGTATGAATTAAGAGTTCATTATTACAAACAGTAATTGCACCATCATAATTTAAAATTAATAGAACTATGGTCATTGGCCCCAAAATGCTCCCCCACTGTCACCTCAGTCACCTGTCCTGCCCTATTTCCCAACAGTAGGTAGACTTTTGCCCCTTTCCGAGTAGGACCCTCTACATACTACTTGAGGAAACTTTCCTGAACATATTTAACAAATTTCACCCATCTAAGCCCTTAACACTACGGCATCCCAGTCTGTTAGGAAAATCACTGTGCCAACCCTATTTCTCCTGCAAGTCTCCGCAATCTCCCTGCATATTTGTTCCTCTAATTCCCATTGACTATTTGGAGGCCTATTGTAAAACTCCAATAACGTCATCATCCCCTTCTTATTTCTTAGCTTCACCTACAAAGCCTCACTGGATGATCGTTCAGTTATTTCATCACTAACTACTGCTGTGATACTCCCTTTAATCAAAAATGCAACTCCCTCTCCCCTCTTTCCTCCACCTCTGTCCCGCCTAAAGCACCTATACCCTGGCACATTAAGCTGCCAGGCCTGTACCTCCCTTAGCCATGTTTCTGTAATGGCTATAATATCCCAGCACCACGTACCTATCCACGCCCTGAGTTCATCGGCCTTACCTGTTAGCCCTGTAGCATTGAAATAGATGCAATTTAATCCAACAGGCATACCCCGCTCCCTGTCCTGTTCCAGCCTGACCTGTCTGTTCAACTTGCTATTTCTGATTACTGTATCTCATTCCAGCTTTGCACCTGCCTCCCGCGAGTTGAGGATCCTGCCCCCATGGTCGGCATGGACCTGTTTGGGCTGAAGGGCCTATCTCCGTGCTGTATGACTCTATGACTCTAATTACTTATATTGGATCATTGTAACATAAATTAAATAATAACCATGTTAAATTTATCAAAATAACATCACTTGTAAATTGATGGAATGAAGCAGCTATAATGTTTTTGCATAATATTTTTATTGTCTGCTACTTTATTGCATGCCTCTGTTAAAATGGCACTCAATGAAGCATCACCTGTTAAGAGTATGTGTGTGAGGGATGTTAAGGGATTTCAGGACCTATTTTGTTGTGATGTTAACTAATCCACAAACGATCACTGGGTTAGCTCACACAGATTGGCACTGAGTCACAGGATTCCTGGAACTGCAGTAAAAATTAGAGCCATTGGGGAAAAAAGAAAAATCAACAGAAAGAATTGTAACTATTTATTTCTTTCAAGTGTGATCAATACTTCTTGTTGTCCCTTGAAGGTTCCTTCAACTGCAATTTGTGAGTTACAAACAGAAAGTAGACCATTGATGCATGCTTCAATATGTGAATTGCCTATTGTAAAGCATATGTACATACATGTGTTTTGTGTATTTTTAGAATCTGTACATGTACAGCGAAACACAGAAATTCAAAAATTTCTATCAGATATACCTTGCATTTCTACAAGATGTGCTTTTGCACCCTTCATGGATGGAATCATTTCAAAATCATTAACTTGTCATGGATTTAAACTAGTAATACATTATTCAAGCTGTAAATAGCACTGAAAAAGTTAAGCTTTGTTAAATCAGGAATAACTGAGTTTATACTGGTGCACTAATTAATATTTATTTATGAACAACTTTTCTGGTCTTGAAAAACTAATTTAAAAGTTTGGAGTCCCATTTCCTCCAACCAGTATTTAAAACTGCTGATTTTGTTTGAAAACTTTAAACTATTCTGAATTTGTGGTCTGATATTTGAATGTTTATCTTAACTTTAATTATGTGCCACAATTTATATTTTGCTCTCTAAATCACATTTAAACGATTGTGCAGAGTCCATATGGTTTATGAACAAACTTAGAGAAAAAAGAAAAAGGTTTTTGAGTGTTAAAAC